TACCTCTGGCCCTGTCCGGACTGGTCCGAGGGCTACTGCATGCACGATCTCCTGCTTGATCTGTTCAAAGGCTTCTCGCTGCTCAGGGCCCCATCTGAAATCATTTTTCTTCTGGGTCACTGCACAGAGAGGGCTTACAATTTGGCTGTAATTTGGAATATGCATTCACCAGAAACCCACAACACCTAGGAAAGCTTGTGTTTCCTTTTTGCTCATTGGTGGGGACGTAGCTGTTATTTTGTTCATCATGTCCATCGAGATCTGGCAACGTCTATCTTGCCATTTTACTCCTAAGAACTGGATCTCTCATGCAGGTCCCTTAACCTTACTTTGCTTTATGGCAAAACCACCTTTCAGAAGAATTTGGATGATCTTTTTCCCCTTCTCAAAAAATTCATCATCTGTGTTGCCCCATACAATGATGTCATCAATGTACTGCAGATGTTCTGGAGCTGCACCCTGTTCCAGTGTAGTCTGGATCAATCACGGTAGATGGTAGGACTGTGCTTCCACCCCTGGGGTAATTGATTCCAGGTGTATTGAATGCCATCCAGGTGCAAGCAAACTGGTGCCTACACTCTGCTGCCAAAGGAATGGAGAAAAAGGCATTAACAATGCCAGTGGTGGTGTACCACTTGGCTTCCTTTGACTCCAGTTTGTAATCGATGGCTTCCTTTGACTCCAGTTTGTACTGGAGTTCCAGCATGTCTGGCACAGCAGCACTCAGTGGTGGTGTGATTTCATTCAGGCCAAGGTAGTCCACTGTTAGTCTACACTCCCCGTCAGACTTAGGCACTGGCCAGATGAGGCTATTAAAGGGTGAGCGGGTTTTGCTGATCACCCTTTGGCTCTCCAGCTGACAAATCAGCTTCTGGATGGGAAGCAAAGAATCTCGGTTAGTACCAAACTGTCACCCATGCACTGTTTTGGTAGCAATTGACACCTGTTGGTCTGCAACCTTTAGTGATCCCACTAAAGATGGTATCTCCTGATCTCCCATGTGAGAGACCAGGCAAGACATACAGCTGCTCAATGCCCTCAGTCTCTATAGCATCTATCCCAAAAGCCCACCCGTACCCTTTCAGGTCCTTAAAACACCCTCTCTTGAGATAGTCAGTGCCCTTCTCCATGCTGGTCCATCTGCATAGTTATTGTGGCACACTTTCTCTAAAAGGTTACCTCTCCTTCACACTGGTCAGGAGTCATTTCCAGAGGCTGATGTGTTGACGTTTTCGTCTAATCGCTTTCTCAATGCCTTTTTCTCTGGCAAGTGACCCCAGCTGTTTAGTCTCCCTCCCCTCTAGCTCCATACTACTGGCCCCATTATCCCAGCAGTGGAACAGCCAGGTCATGGTATGTTCACCTGTGCAGCGGACGAAGACTCTTTGGATTTCCTGTAGCTCCCTCAGGGATAAAGACTGTGTGGTTACAACGGCTTCATCCTCCATCTCCAACTCTTGACACAGCCCTGATCCCATCTCCTTATTATTTATTTCTGTCACCTGGGATGGCTCTGCTACCTCATCATCCTTGACTATGTGGACTGATTTACATGTGTATTTCCCTTTCTGAACCAGGGCCACTGGCAATGGTCAACCCTGGCAATAGCACACAGAAGACTGGGGAAGTGAAGCT